CGTGATTCGTATCTTTTCCCCGCCGAGGTACTTGTCTTTCTTCGTTCTGTGGCGGACTAGGGCACCTGTAGTTTCATGCTCTTTTCATATCTATCTACCCACTCAGATGTGTCTCCAGCTGCCTACACGACCCGTCCCCGGGATTCTCGCCACGCTGGCCGTACGTTCAATAGGCTATAGCAGGCACTCCCCAGCGGCCAGACCCCAGGTTCTCTCTCTTTGTTCTTGAATCCATGTTTCATTCAACAGGCAGATCATATCGAGTGTTCGGCACAAACACTCAAGAGTCCAGAGCCGATGTTGTCCGAGTTCTGCCTTCCCCATTCCTCTACGCGCTCACATTATATCCAGGTTTGTGAATCACTGCCAATTCATTGGGTAGTCTAACCCCTTTCTCGCGATCTTCGATGCTCACCAGCTTTCCGCGGTAGAGCTCTGGAGTCTGCTGGGTCCGGGGCGAAGGCTTCAACGTGTTTTGAATGAATTATTTCTTCATATAGCTTGATCCGAACGTCACTGTAAGCGGGAGGTTCCCGGGTCCCATTACCGAAAAGGTGAGCCGACGTCTGATTGACAAGCTTGACTGTCCGGCCTTCCATACGTGGGTGCGTTTCGTGGGTGGCGCAAATATTGCCGCCCGGTTCAATGTAAGTACCGCCGCGGTGCCGCCATGTACCGCCGAGCAGTCACACTGCCGCCTGTCACGCATCTCTTGGTACCGCCGTGTGCCGCCAGCGGTACCGCCGAGAGGTCACTTTACCGCCGAGTTACCGCTGTGATTACCGCCGAGTGACGCCCATCACTTGGGTAATTTACCGCCGAGTAACTCAACTTCGAAACAATTTCAAGTCATTTGGCTCGGATATTGGTCAAATTCACTCATCTTATAATATACATGCTGTCCACACATGTTTCCAACCTTATTCAAGTATCCTGGGGCCGGGAAAAGCCCTGCGGCACCCAGAGTACCGCCGAGTACCACCAAGTACCGCCACGGCGGCAGCTGCGGTAAATTCTCCGGGCCCCCCCTGACCTCGCCCCTATTCTTGTTTTTCATTCTAACCTCTTCATCCATGCCAGCCGAACAACCACATGACCCTTTGCCCAACGTAAGCGCCACACCTTCGAGGGTAAGCCTTCTGCTCTACAATTGCACCAAAACAAACTATTCACCTCCCCTTTCCCAGTACATCGCCAGAGCACGCCATCAAAGTCCCGCAGGCCTAGCGGCGCTCTACGACCTCGCTTCAGTTTGGATTCACGTCCCCGATACCAGGGAGCTCGGCGCTGTTGGCGTCTTTATCTCACACCTTCGTCTAGAGAAGGTCCCATCCTCGGACGATCAGGGGCGGCACCTTAGTCTCGAATTCGCACATGCCTCGCTGCGGGGTCTGGCTTCCATGGATCAGCGTCTCGATGAACCCGACTACACCGAGCAAGTCGACTCGATCGTCGCCGCATGGCCGGGAATCTTCGCCTGGGCGCACTACCTCTCCAAACGGTATATCGAAACCCGGGAAACAGAACTCACGGGACACCCCAGAATGGACGCCCTGATTCACTTCTTCAACAACTTTGTACATTCTCGCAAGATGGGCCCGCGCCTGGTCGAAACCCCAGGCTGTCTGGAGCTCATGACCGAGATTTGGGTTGTCGCGGCTGTTTCGCAAGACATCCATGACCTATCTGACAGCCTACGCTTTCTGGCCACGCAAACAATGGGAATGCTGCTCGCACAGTCAGCGTCACTCGGCAAGACTGATGTCCACGATCGACTGGTCCAAGCTGCTGGAGGCGACGCGGAATTGATTTTTCAGCTCCTCCTACGGCGCGTCAAACAGACGACTAAAAGGCTCAGCACGGACAACGACGTATACAAGTTGAAGTGGTACTTCAACATAGTCACCGACTTTTGTCGTCCGGCTCCCCATTCTCTGCGACGCGCATTTTACGACGCGGGCGGCATGACGACCATGACCCGCGCGTTTGTCGCTATACCGGGCGCGATTGACAAGGACCGCCAGTCAGGCGCGATAGACAACCTGCTGACCTCGTGCGTCAACTTCTTCCACCTCTATCTGGAAGGCGACAACTACCTTTCGGTCTTGCACGCAATGAAAGCGGGATTCCTACACGCGGTTATCGAGTGTTCACCGAGGATATTGAACCTGGAGCAACAGATAACGGCGAGGGCGGTAGATATCCTCCACAACTTGCTCCCTCCCTACCTCGTGTACCGCTCGGTATTCGAGGCGGTCTTTCCTTCCTTGGGGGAATTGAACGAGTCCGCGCGTCTCGGGCACCTGAAGATGCATCCCGTGGTTGCAGCAGCCATTTTGCCGCTTCTTACGTTTGCAGACAAGCGGGGGTGTGCGCTGCAATACGAGGAGCAAGTGGAGTCGCTCCGGGTTTGCGGGAACTATGAAGAGGTGCGTGGATTAAATCTTTTTCGACCATACGCTCACCTAGTTCCCAGTGCCGACTCGTCGACCGGACCAATAGTTTCAAGGCGTGCAAGGCCTGCCAATCGGTGTATTACTGTTCTCCAGAGTGCCAGAGGGTCGACTGGAAAGCCAGACATCGCAAGTGGTGCAAGTTTACCATACAACCGGCGCCTAAAGCCTCAATGGGTAAGAAACTTCATTTTCCTCGCGAGAACATTCAACAACTCCATATTCAGGTCGTCGCACGAGAACAGATGAGCAAAGCATTCAACACCTAGCGCAGTGGTGTGCCGCCCAGAACGTCGCAAAGCTCCGCGCTGCCATTAAACGCGGCTTTCCAGACACGCCGATTGAGAAGGTTGTTTTGTGGATCGATTTTACTTACGTTCCCGAGAAGTACAGTGCCACCCTCGATGCTGGACGTCCGGATGAGCGACAAAGCAGGCTCGAAGCAGCGTGCCGCGAACGAGGGTGTCCGATGATGCAATGCATCAGAAAGAACGGGGCCACGAAGGAGGGTTTGTGGATGTCTGCGGTGGCGGGGAACCAGTGGAAAGTCCCCAAGTTATCGACTGATGGTCAGGAATCTAACACGATTAGTTCAAATGATTAGTATACCCTATGCCTTCTTCCTCTTTTTCAAGCACTCGGGCTTATGCCTCCCCCAATCCGCCTTCTGACACTGCCCACAACAATACGCCGTCCATCCACAGGCAGAACACGCCTTGGGCTTACTCCCCCATTTCTCCAACCGCTCCTCGATCTTCGCCTCCCTCATCCCGCGCACCCGCTTCTCTCTCAACGCTTCCAACGCCTCACGCTCCTTACACCCCTCGAAGCTACACCCGTAGTCCCGATCGTCGAGGCACGCCCACTGCATCGAGACGCTCAGATTCGCCCACGAATACCGCTTCCTCGCAGCCCGCGGCATAGCAACGTACTCGGCGAGGAGCTTCCTCCAATCCTCGCGCGATCGCATGGGGAGGTCTTCACCCTTGATACGATGCTGAATGTAATAAAAGATGACAGGGTCGTTGTGCGCTTCGGCTTTGGATGCAGCGCGGAAGGGCGCTAGGCCGTAGCGGCGGTACATATTGAAGAACGCGTCGACGAGGATGGGGTTGGTCGTGAGGATGTTGCCCTTGTGTGCGAGCAGCTCTTGGAGCTCGCGGGTGACGTGCTGGAGAGAGGTCGGAGTTTGGTTCTCCCATGCGGCGTCGGGGAGTTTGGTCAGTACCTCCTCGCACCAGTCCTTGCAGAGGCTGTTGGTCTGCGAGAGCTGAGATAAGAATGACCTTGGTATTGTGAAGCACGCACCCAATCCCCGAACAAGGCTCCCAAACCACCCGCCTGACTAAACTTGACAAGCGCCGGCGTATTCCAATATATCGGACGCATGGCGTCGGTCAAGGGATCCCCGAGAGCCTTTCGATAAGCGACGCTGGTAGACCAAAAGACGAGCCTCTTGATCGCCTTCTCCGCCCACCTCCTCTCGTCCTCCCCACTATGCGCGTTCTCATTCAGGAAAAATGCCACCGTGATGTCACCAATGAACCACGAGAAAAGATGGGCGGCAATGTCATCGTCAGCGTGGTTCTCGACCTTGCCAGCCGCCCACCGCTGGTCGTCGTCAGCTTCGGCGTCAGCAGATAGAGCTTCGTCCACGAAGTTGGCTGCACGCCGGAAGATGCCCACGTCGAAGGGTTCTTCCAAAAGGAACACCTCGAGGTCAGAGCCTCCGCCTGCCATGATAGCGCGTAAACGTGGTGGGTCGAGTTGGAGGCAAATTCCGATTTCGTGCAGCGTGAGCCCGACGTCTGCGACCTTTTCCCAGTCGCAGAAGATGAGATCCGGATGTGGTCGTTTCCCGACGTAGTAGTTGTAGAAAACTCGCAGAAGGTGGCGGACACGTCGGAATAGGTATGCAAGCTGAGGGACAGAGACTCAGAGGCGCGTCAGAAAGGAAAAGCTCTGGGCACGCACCTGCGAGAACTCTGCACACTTTTTGCCCGGTTTGTACCCCTTCCTCACGATTCGTTCGATGGCTCTGACGGAGTACATCATCCCATCTTTGACAGGTGGGTCGCGCAGTGGCACAGGACCCTTGACCATGAGCGGCGATCCACTGAGCGACGCCAGCTTGACGCCCATCCTCGCAAACTCGCACCGCTCTGCAATCCGCTCGTCAAGGGTCCCCTTCTCCCCCTTCTTGAACATCGACTTTTTCACGTCGGGCATGACCTGCTGATTGGAGCTCATGAACGCCTGGAGGTTGGTCATGAGGTCCGGGTCCAGGATGGCGTCGGCGATTCCAGGGCGCATGAGGCTTAGCTCGAGGGGCGCGACTTGGTTGTTCATGTTGGAAAAGGCCTCGATGAGTTCCTTGAACTTGGGGTCCAGGACTGCGCCTGGCTCAGTGGGTCGTGGGGGCATGGTGGTGGAGGTGAAAAAGGCGCGTCGGGATACATGTGCAAACAACGCGCCGAGATTGGAATTTGAAAACCTCGTCTGTGCCACTGTGTGGGCGATAGCCAAACGCGGCCGCCATCGGCGAACACACGCATGGTGAAACGGTATCATGCTTGCCTTCCATTACGGGTGCTTATCTCCAGGTTAGCAAGCGGCAGGGGTTCGACTCCCCTTGCGTGTATATTGAGGTTGCTGATTCTTCTTTTTTCGAGAAGTCTGGGCTTCGGAGCCAACTCTTCGGGAAACCAAGTTGTACTGTGGGCCTGCAACCGTGAGCATTATAATTATATTCATGCTACCCTCTCCTTTATCGTGACAGTCATCAGTTGATGAAATCGTTGATCCGCGAAAACCATCTTTGATCAGTAACCACCATGTCTCTCCCGGATTGCCCTCTGGATATCATCCTGGAGCTGGCTAAGAATTTGGACCTCGCTGACTCTTACATCTGGCCGCTGTACGCCCTCTGGAGCTGTATCGTTGCCACGTAGCTGATCAGGCCGCAGACATGCACGACTTTCGCAGAGATGCTCCACTCGCCATCCTTTTGGATCGGAGCACTCAAGCGGATGGAGACCTTCCATAGGCGACCGCTACCCTGTCCCATTGGCACCGATCTCACCACCTTGCCACTCGAACAGCTCCGAGACATCGCAATCCACGCATACAAACTGAGGAAGAACTGGGTGGCCGAATCGCTGAACCCTGTTCGTGTTGGGAAGTTTGATGTAGGTTTTCACACCGCAAACTTTGACGTGGCTATCATCTGGAAGCCGCGCATCCTTTGCATTCCAGGGACGAGGATGATCGTCACCCTCTCACCCAGCCACTTCACCTGCTGGGATGCCGCTTCTGGCGTAAAGATTGGGGCCTGCGTCTACGGGGACGCTTCCGTTGCGTGGTCGCAATGGATCCACAGTCGTCCTTTTCAGTCCTGGAATGTTCTATCTTGGGATGGCTTCTCAATGGTAGCGTTACATTCTTGAGGAAACGAAATCGGCAACTGACAGGGCACACCCCAGCGACGACCTCAACGGCCACCGGGAGCTCAGATTGACTGTGTGCCTTTTGGATTATCGGGATTCCACCTCTGTCAAAACCGCGCAGACATTTTCGCGATCTTTTCCCTTCCCCGATCTGGATGAGGCGGTCAGTACAGTCCTCGTGAACGAGGACACCATCGGCGCGGTCACCGTCCACTCCGGCGACCTTTCCTCGTCTCTGATACTTGGCCGTATCAAGGGCGGAGAGCTCCGTCCGCGTCAGGTGGTATTCGGAGATTCAAACAATTTCGGCAACCTCGTCGGTTACGCTGTCGATGACGATCTGTGCTTAGTTGCATGGCCCGGCTACCAAATCGTCCAGCTTTTGCGCACCGCAGTCACCCCACGGTCCTCATACCCAGTCGCGATTGTGGACATCCCAAATGCCGAGACCCTCACTCTGCCGCCTGTGCTTTCCAACATCCAACTCCCCACATGCGGTGTGCTGGGTGCACAACTGCTCACGTTGGAAAATCCAGAAAATCTGAACTTTAGTCAAGTTGTCCAGTTCTCACCGGCGGAATGGGAAGACCCTGTCCTCAGAGTCGGCACCCCTTTCTGCTATCGGCATTCCTCGCACTTGTCGTGGATGAACCCAGGCTCTTCCCTTTCCTCCGCTCTGATCTCCAGCCACGTCGGGGATTTGGGACTGCTGCAGTATATCCATGAGCCATCTCCTCGAGTGGATTTCCGTTCACTCCCAGTCTCGGGTGAGATTTGGCCATCGGCCCTTCGGATGGATGGATGCGCGCTGGACGATAGGCTGGGAGTTCTTTATGTGCTCAAGAGCGGCGATGAGACCCCTTGCGTGCATGTTTTTTCCTATGTGTAGTGATTCTCGCTCTTCGCATGACATGCGTATGAGAGGACTCATAAGTTCTTGGGACAATTGTTTGCGCGCATAAGTATTCTCGGTTTTCTTGGCAATGTATAGTTGGTACCAATCGAGAACTGCTTAGCTATAACATGTTCGTTTTCAACCGAAATTATTACTGAACCAATGTTCGTCGCAATCTACTGGACATGGTTGATGGCACTGTGTACCAGGAAAAGTGTCCCCGGCTCAATAAAATGTGCGATATGACGCTGGGAGCAAGCAATTCTGGCAAGCAGCAAGCGTTCGACTCCCATTCCTTGTATCATGTTTTCTACGATCATCTTTTTTTCAGAAGTCCGGGTTCCCATCGCCAACTTTTATGATATATATATCATAAGTCCCACAAAAAGTTCTTGAACAAATTTACTTACCGCTCCGAAAAATTTGAAGTCAAAAGTATTACGGATGAGGAAAAATCAGCCCGTCAGTATGGATCCTCCTTCATCGTACAATGAGCAGCATCCTAGCCGTCTCCACCCACGCAAAAATAACACCTCAACAGCGCCTCAAAACCTGAACTTTGAAATGACTGATCAGAGTCGCGCGCTGCATTAACCCGGCAAGACACGTATCATCCTTGCCTTCCATCACTCAGATGTTGAGCAAGCGGCAGGTGTTCGACTCCCCTTGCGTGTATCAACCCTGACTCCGCCACAGAGTCCTTTTTTCGAAAAGTAGGGGCTCGCATCGCCGACTTCCATGAATCTCCGGGTCCCTTTACTTCTAGTACGGACATGCATGTCAACAAATCATCCTTTTCATCGCACAATCCGCAACATCCCAGCCGTCTCCACCCTCGGTAAATAACACCTCAACAGCGCCTCAAACCTATCAAACGCATGCCTATCAAACGCATCGGGAGACCCAAAGCTAAACTTGTTATACCCTTTGAACGTCAAGCCCAAAAACCGTGGCCCTCCATCTTCCGAACGCAACAAAGCCTCCTCGAGCGCATACCACGTCGTAGCCGGCACCTCGAGGAGATCGCGTTGAATCATTCCGTGGTCGATGGTAATGTGCTCCAGTGCGCCGAGGCCTAGGTGGAGAAATTGATTGAGCCAAGCAAGCGAGTCGCTGACGTTGGCGTCTTCCCCGTCTTTGAAGTGCAGGGAGCGGAGGTGGGGAAACGAAGCGAGGGAGATTGGATGCGAGTCTCCGGTGGCGAGTGTCATCGCTGGAGACTTGATCAGCGCGTGAACCGTCTAGCAAGAAGAGATGGACATACGTGGGTCAAGATGCAGAGTCAATTCTTGTAACTGCGACGCAGCGGCCAATACCAGAGCCGGGCGCTGGTCGGGGAGGTCGTAATCCCCACGTACATAAACAACGTCGATGGACAACGTGTGCAGCGTATCCAGGAGTCCACTCGGAACAAGCCAACGTCCAAGCGGCCCTAGGACCTTACAGTCCCCAGCTATGCGCACCGTATGCAGGCGCGGAAGATTTTGCCCTTCGGTCGTGGGGACAGCGGGCATCTGCAGCTCATCGGCGTTCCACGTCGCCCACCCATGGCCATTGGATTCGGCGTGGATGTCCAGCTCCGTCAGACTGGAGCACCCATTCAGCACCCTAGCCCATTCAGGAAGCGCGCAGACATGATTGAGGATGCGGATGTGCACGGTCGTGACGTGGTGCAGCCCACGACCGAGCAACGCTCTCTGCACGTCTGAAAGCTGGCGAACTCCAAAAGGGTCCCCGTGCGCTGAAAGATGTGTGATATGGGGCAACTGGGCGAGGCTTTCCGGGGGGAGGAGAGCGGATGACGGGAGATCGTTGTTGATCAAGGGAATGTCCAGCCGACGAATGTACATCGCCACATCGCTTGAGGGAGAGACGAGCGTGCGGAATGCATAGACGTTGCGCGGTGTGAGGCGCACGGAGAAGAACAGGTGCAGTCGACTCCAGGGAAGGAAGGACCGAGAGATGAGGGCGGAAGCGCGCAGACTAGGGAGATCGTCGCGTAGTTCACCGACAATTTTGGCTACAAGCTCCTGCGGGATATCGGGAATCGAAGACATTGAGGGAAGGAAGGAAGGAATTAACCTGCGCGGTCCCGCATCGGAACAGCAGGGCCCGTAAACTTTGAGTCAAGACTGATTCTGACTCGAAGGATGATATCCCCATTGGGAGCCGCTGCCATGTTATTCTGTTCCGGAGACGATGTGAACGAAAAAGTGTAAGCCGGCGTCTCTTGGCGCACGCACTTCAAATTTCAAAATGTGTGCCACGAATTGGCCACGAACCAAAAAAAATCTTCAATCACAATCAACGTACCAAGCCCGAATCAAGCGGGCGTGTTACAGCAAGGCACCGAGGTGGCAAGGTACAAGATCGGGCTCTGGGAATGCGCTACATGAATAATGCTATACCTGACAGAAATAAGAGGAGTCTACTAGCCCCAAGTACCCCACGACAAGCGCAAGGGCAAGTGTCACATATACATTACCAATCTGCGGACTCGGATGCGGTTGAACTTGAAGCCAAGCCGTCTTTTCGAGTGCATCATCCAAGACTATCCCGTCCATCTTTGTTCCAACCTCGGAGACTGGCATAAAATCAACACGACTGGCACTCCTTTGGATTTCAACTCACGATGAAGAATAAATGCATCCTTTGCGCAAGACATCTTGCAGATTGGGTATCCCAATTCCACAGCTACATCCAGCGTATTCGGTTCGTTCCCTTTTGCGGCGTAAAGCCGGCGGATTCCCGCATACACCTCGTCATTTCAGGACCTGCCAAGAACTTTCACCTCTTGTTGAATAGTAGGAAAGCCGAGCATCGAGGCATCCTCTGCGGTGAGACGCTCCACTCCCAAAGGATCGATTGCCCAGTATCCCAGGTCGGAAGAGGAGGAATACGAGTCACGCGGCAGCTGGGGGCAGAGGAAGAGGTAGCCTGCAGGACGCCGGGAATCCTCGTCGAGACCCAACAAATTCAGATGATACTCCACGTCGTAGGTTAAAACTGCCCCAGCGTCAGGAGAGGGCGAACCGTGAGCCGAATGAAACTTACGATATTCTCCCGTAAGTATTCGAATCAATTTCGAGGACTCCGAGAACGTGACAAGCGTGAGCTAGCCACGGCTCCGAACCGTCATTCAGGCAAATCACACGGCAGTACTTGTCCACGACTGAAGTGGATCCACACTGTTTGGCCACATTAAGTAGAACAAGAGACTGAGAGTTTGGAACGCACACCGAATCCGACATCTATTCTCTAGAATGGAAATTTCTTCCCCGAATTCGATGCTGACAAAAT